ACCAAACCGTTATTATATGAAATGTTAAAGGGACTTATCTAAGAAAAAGAAGATAAAAAATATGAACAGTAAAAAGACAGCAAACTCACAGTTATTAACAACCACACCTAAAACAAAAGCAAACTAAGTGAACAAATAAAACAGTAACAGAACCACAGAAACAGAGCTCACATGGAGGGTTAGCAACAGGGGAGTGGGAGGAGGAGAGAGGGGGAAAATGTATGAAGAATAAGTAGCATAGACAGTAGGTAGAAAATAGACAGGGGGAGTGCAAGGATAGTGCAAGGGAGGGAAATGTAGAAGCTAAAGAACTTATGACCCATGGACATGAACTAAAGTGGGGAATGTGGGTGGGAGGTGGTGTGCAGAGTGGAGGGGAATGAAGGGGGGAAATGAGACAACTGTAATAGCATGATCAATAAAATATATTAAAAAAATAGAAACGGTGGTGTAAATGAGGAAGGCCCATCTGAGACGATGGCTTAAAGACAGTGACATAAGGAACAGCAGGGGAGGAGCTCCAGCCCCGCAGGGGTGAAGGGTCGGAAGGAGATGGGTGTGACTGGAGGGGGATAGGTCCTGGGAGAGCCACAAAAGTGGGGCCTGGTGACCCTGGCTTCCTGCTGGTGCTACATCCCTTGGGGCCTCCTCTGCCCTTTCCTCCTTCCTGGCTCCCTGCAACTAAAAACAAGGGTATCCTCCTGAAAGCCAGAGCTGACTACGCCATTTCTTTGTTGAAGAAAACAAACAGCAGTGAGTGAATGATTATGTGAATGAAGGAATGAAGGAATGAAGGAATGAATGAATGAAAAACCTTTTCCATGGCAAGCAGGATATAGCCCAAATTCCTTGAGTTAGCACAACGGCTTACACAGTGTGTGGCTTCAGACCCCTGTGACCTTTTCTCCAGTCATTCCTAAGATGTCTCTGAAGGTTCAGCCACACTTAACATTTGCTATGTCTTGAATGTGAAAGGCAGGTCTTCAGGGAGCTTTCCTTTATCCATTCTCTTTTCTTTCTTCTAGTTCTCCTTCTAGTTCTCAAGTTAGCAAACTCCTACCCCTTCTGCAAGGGTCATCTCAGGGGGTCTTTCTTGGCAAGGTAAAAGGAGGGCCTGCCACTTGTCATCGCACTTGGTTCGTAATCCATGGAAGAGCACTTGCCTGTGTCCATACCTTGGACCAAACAGTCTTTTGGACATACTTGCTGGTCTGTTTCCCTTTGGGCTACTCTGCGTCCTATGTCTCATTCCTCTCTCTGGCCCCAGTGCCCAGTAGCACACCTGCCCAGAGTAGAAGTTCAGGGAGTGCTCAAATGAAGGTCTCCTTTAATATCACATGTTTTATGACAGTGTTTGCCATGCTGGGTGGAAGGAAGGGCGTGGTTTGATCCAAAAGCAGCTAACCTTCAAGGGAAGATGCCCTGAGTAATAATAACTCCAGGCGACCACTGAGTGCTTGATGGATCAGGCGAAGCCAGGATTCTTTTGTTCCAAAAGCTAATGCAGTTTCAAAATAGCATTTTTTTTTTTTTTTTGCCACAGGACAACTAAGTTCAGGATATATAGGGACAGCAAGGAAGTCTATAAAGAAAGCCAACATTTTCCTCTATGAACATTTTTAAGCATTTGAAGAAAACTTGGTTGGGCTTCTAAAATTCTTCTTAATAGTAGAGGATGTCTGGTGACCATATGTCCTGGACTTTCTGGGGACAGGCCCAATTCCATGTAATTTAATTCCATTTCAGAAAGGTGACTTAATCTAAGTTTTGTTCATTTCAATTTTTATAGTTTCATATAATGTTATTTATGTAAATTCACAAATCAAAATAAAAAATCTTTTGTCAGATTATGTGTTCTAACTTTTGATTCTCACAATGTGGTCCTAATAATGGGAAAGGTATCTTAAGGCTACAGACTTTGGGTGTGAGGGTAATTGGTCATTTTAGAAATAATTCATTAATAGGTCTCATCTCTTAAGATCCTTCTTTGTCATAGGTGATAAAAAGTGTGCTCAGTTAGCCCTCGGCAATAACAAATATGCCCAAAACTCAGTGGCCTGAAACACCAAGTATCATTCATGATTCTGGGGCTGGAAATTCAGACCTGGTTCAACTGGAGATGCACATGCGGCTGCAGTCATCCGATGGCTGGACTTGTAGTGGGTTTGGGTCTCTCCAGGTGTTTTCCATCTCTTAGGGCTCTTGACTTTCATCTGTAGGGCTCCCTAGAATCGGGAGAATTTGGAACTGGCACTGTAGCCCTGATGTGAAAGTGGAGTCTCTCTTCATGCTGTCAGCAGACACTGCTGAATCTAGGGTCCGTCTCATAAAAACAAACCTGTGAGTGAATGCCAGCCCGAAGTTTCACGTTAGACAGTTCCTGCCTACCTAGCCCGAGGCTGCCCTTGGCTCAGCTGGGATTCTGTGACCCTCTCACCCTCCATGCGCTCTTTTCTTGTTTTAAGTGAATAGATGTTCTATTGAGGATCTGAACATGAGACAGTCCCCCATTGAATTCCATTTTATGGTGTTGCTTTGGTAAGTTTTCTAGATTTTTCTTTTCATTTCAACTCTTTGATTGTCTCTATCTTCCTTGACAAAAGGCAGTTAAAGTGGATTTCATGTTGTACACACCGTGTGTGCGTCTGAAAGGAACTGTGAGCAGAATGGCACTCAATCCCTGGATCTCTGAGGTTAGACAGGAATTAGAATGATCCAAACTCTAATTTGCCCCTATCTTGTTATTCCAAATGTGTGCTTAATAAGAAGCAGAATCAGTACCTCAGGTCAGAATAAGTTCGAATGGTCTAGAATTTTTATATCTCAAAATGAAAAAAGCAATTGTCTAGAAATATTGAAAATATTGGTTAGGTACATAATCATTCTCCAACTTTCCTTAGAAAATGCCATTTAATATGTTAAAGTTGAGATGGTAAATGTGATTAACCAAATGTAGAATTTCTTAGTTCTTGCAGTTAAACTGGAGAGGGGAATCCTAGGAAACAGACTTTCCAATGAGATTTTATAACAATAGAGCTTTTTCTGAACTCATATCAACTCTTACCTCAAACCTCCCCAAATTATGTCTGGTTAGTAACTTCAGAGGCACGAAATAGTCAAAATAATATTGAGTTGCCTTTATGTGTCTGAGAGTTTGTTATAAAATGTATCTAGCACAGAGACAGAAGAGTTTTCACTTAATCTCTAAAAGCGGAAGCTGGAGGAAACCGGAGACAGGGCAGGTAAAGGGTGGACGCACTCTCAGGAAATAGGCCACGTGTCTCAGGTGCTCACTCCTCTGGACCAGCAGGAGCGTGGCCAACCTGGCCTTGACTCAGCCAAGCTCACCGTGCTTGATGAACATGACTGCCAAAATTTTGGACATAGGGGATCTTTGATTTTGCAGGAGCCAGATTTTTCTGTAGATAGTTAGGTGATATAAAGGCCATATGCTGTGATTATCTCTCTGTGTCTTTATATTACTTCTCCATTCTATATCAGGACCAAGTTGTGAGAAGTGAGCGAGAACACCCAAAGGCTGGATCCATGTGAACCTCTGGGGACATGAGACTATGTATGGGTCTCCATGGTTGCCAAGTCAGAGAGGCTGCTGGACTTGGTGAAGGCGCCTGGCTTACCTGGGCTTCAAGGTGGCTGACTCCCAAATTCTGTGTGATGGAGGAATTTGTGGGCGGCCTGTGCCCCTTCATCTAAGGGCGTGGGCTGGGGGAGGGTAGTCATTTATTGACTAGCAGCCACAGGAAAGACCCTACACTTGCAGCTCTACATAAATCACCCTCATATAAGTTATTTGAGGTGAGTCTGCACACGCAATACTTATTTTCCTCATTTGGTGAGCTGGAGAGAAGGCAGGTGACTTGCTGCAGGTCACACCAGGTTTGTTCATGGCATAGCCAGCTTGCATGTAAGTTGTCAGTGACAACTTGTGCTCTTCTTACTGTCCAGTTTTAGAGAAGGTAGGCTTAAAAAAATTAAAGAAGCTGGAGATAAAGATGAGTTAGCCCATGGCTGGGAAGAGTGAGTGTGGAAAAGGAGCAGAGCTATACAAAGCTCAGATAGTTGGTGTTGATGGTGAGGTAAGTGAGCTGTGGGATGGGGTCCAGGATAGAGTGAGTTTTGGAATGGTCCAGCTGGGACTCTGGAAGGGGCCCAACTAAGAGCAGGACCAAATATCCCCCAGAGAGGGAAGGGGGGCGTGTGTATGGTGGCAGTTGGCTCAGGTTTCCACATCAGAGCCTAAGTGACAAAGAGTAAGCCAGTTGTTCTTCTGCATAAATCTGTGTCACTTTTAAGAGGAGATTTTTATAAAATTTTACTCAGGAGGTCAGGTCTATTTTTGGCATGTGCTTTGGTGACTCGTGTATGCAAGCTGTGTAGTTTAACCATAGGCTCCACCCCCAACACTAAGACCGTGCTGCCAAGGGTAGCTGCTCGCAGCAGAGGTGTGTGAGATTCTGCAGCCAGGTAGCACTGTCTATGGCAGTGGGCCTCTCAAAAAGATCTGTGGATAAGGCTAGTCACCCTCACCTGGATCTTGTGGCTCTCACCTCTGACCAGAATCCTTGCTGTGCTCTTCCTAGCTTCCTCATTGGGAAAGCAAGCTCAGGAACCACCCAGAACTTGAGGGCTTCCTGTCACTGGGCTTCAGGAGGGCCTCTGCCTCCAGGACCAGAGAAGACCAAAGGGAGGCCCAGAGAAATGGCAAAGCTGGGCTCCAGGGTGAAGATGCCATCCAACTACAAAACATTGTTAGACCTATCCAGGATAGTGTCTGTCCTTTCTCTATGCATTTGATTGGGTAAATGCACAGTGGCAGGCATCTTTCAGTTTGCAGACTGTGCTTTGCGTCATGTGGCTGTGAAGACCTTGCAGAGAAGCTGAGGCTACAGCATGGGGTGAGCTGGACATGCACAGTCCTCTCTGGGGGCTAGGAAAGGATATCAGTCTGACCTTGCACTGGGCTTTCTCTGCTTTTGCAGGCGGCACTCCGGCACGAGGATGGCGACGAGACAGCTGAGCCACCCCTCAGTGGGCGCCGGGACCGGAGGAGGGCCAGCCTGTGTTCTGGCGGCAGCGGGGGCGAGCACCGGGGCCTAGACCGCAGGCGGAGCCGCAGGCACTCAGTACAGAACATCAAGAGTCCTCTGTCGGCTCCCACCAGTCCCTGTTCCCAGTCGGCTCCCAGCTTCCAGCCCTGTCAAGTGCGAGATCTCCGTGAAAAGTAAGCATTCACCCAGCAGTGGGGAGGGGCACAAGACTAGTAGGGAGGGAGTTCCCCACCCCACAGGTGCCCATCACCATCCCCACTCCTCCTGTCTCTTCTCCACCATTAAAACAGCATCCAGAATTCCCACGGAGCTACCCAGGGCAAGGTGGCCCTGGTGACAAGCACAGATTTGTTCTTATTAACCCCATGAACTCTTCTCCACCCACCTGTGTGTTTATATTATTTAATATCTCAGTTAACATCTGTTTAGAAAAGCTGTGCTTTATCAAATGGTAAAGAATGCAAAACACAAAGCTTTGGCCTACAAACAAATGGTATGCCACCACATAAATGTGAGCTCTTGAGAGTCTGGAGATATTCCCGACAATACATAGTTGATGCTGAGTTAAATAGAACAAATCTTATGAGTTTCAAATCATACATACATAAATATAAGCTATAGGATTTTATATACATACCAAGTTTCAGTAAACACAAATGTTATCATGTATTTCGTCAGTCATGCAGCAAGCATTTTTGCTGAGTGTCTGTTCTGGGCCAGGACTATCTGACACATGATGATATATAAATGGAAAAGGTATGATCTCTGACCTCAGGAACCTCAAATCTGGGTTGGGAGAAAGTAAGACTGAGGAAAGGAGATAGGAAGAAATAGATGGGTCGGCAATCCTATGAGAAATTACACATATTAAAAAGATAACGTTTGACAAAATCAAAGACAACTCAGAAGCGGTTCCACGAAACACAGGTGCAGCAAAAGCACGGCCACATGATGCCGCCCTGGGATCGGGGCCGGTTCTGTTTTCTCTCCGCTGTTAGTTTACTCGGGGGATGGGGCTCTGCAGACCGGTCCACGCCAACCCGGTCCACCAGGCTGACTGATACAATTGCCAGTGCACCACCTCCTGCTGCCTGCAGGGTGGAAGCCCTGCTCCCCTCCTTTGGCTGGAGCGTTTCCCCTGTCATGGAGCTCCCTCTGGGAGCCGGATGTAGGCAGGAGGCTGCATGGTGAAGAAGAACGTAACTCAGAGTAAGTTGGATAACTTTAAGTGAGTGACCAAGATATGTCCCTTCCTCTCCATTCCTAAGGGACTGCCTACCCCCACTGCTACTGAGAAGTGCCCTGAGTGGCCTGATATTCTTGGAATCACTAAAGTGTGACCCAGCCCAGGCCTTCGGGTGTCTTCTGTTGCCGGGGGAGGAGAGCATCGGTCTGAGCGTGATGTGCAAGGCACAATCCATGTTGACACCCTTCTCTGCCATGTAGGCCCCTAGGTACAGAGGTTTCTGTTTCTGAGGTCTATGTACAACAAGCTCCATTTTAGTGAAAAGAAGACCAAAACATCTACACAGATTGATGAAAGAGAACACTTACCACTTACACTTGTAAGAATACTTACAAGAGAACATTCCACTTTGTGATATAAGATCTTCAAGAAACTCAGGCGGTGCTCAAAGGCCCTTGAAGCTTTCTCCAGCACCGCATCCAGCTCATGCTTGAGAAATTAACATGGAGAGGGTTGCAGAAAGCACATACAATGGGCTGAGAAGTCTCTCTTTAAAATTACCAAATTGCTGAGGATAGGCGGTGGGAGGCCTTGTCGCAGCTCTTTGTGATCTTTTGCTTGGACTTGTGTCATCTTTGTTTCTGTTCTATTTCTTGCCATTATACTTTTCAAAGGTCCCTGTGTTGTGAGTTCAGGTGACAGTGCCTCCTGGTAGGCAACAGCAGTGGAGTGGACCGTCCCTGGCCCAGCTCACAGTTCCGAGGCACTGGGCTGGGTGGGACCTGGAACAGGGAGGCCCAGACGCTGCCCCGGGTCTGCTAGCTCAGTCTTTTCAGACAGGGCTGATTTTTCCTTTTACCGAGGTTACACCTTTCATGTAAATTTTGTAGCATTTATTTAAGAAAAATACAGTTTCCAGCTTGTAAAGGCAGATTAGGTCTTACAGGTTGACGATTATGAAGTGGCTTCATCCATAAGGCCTGTTGGAGAGATTTTGCCTGATGGCCCCAAAACGACAGGGCAGGTTTGGCAGAGCTGGGAGTGGGGTGGAGGGAAAGGGTGACGAGAAGCAAACTTGGAAACAATCTCCGCATGCATAGCTCAGTCACCTGCTCAACATCTGTGCCTCTAAACATTACCTTAGTATTAAGTAATTCACCATGTTAGATTCCCTGTAGACCCTGAAAGGCACAGGAGCATGCCTGACCTAGATTACTCTTCGCCTACCTGAATGTTCTGGCCCGAGTTGCTGCTAACTTGTAGCAACATGCCTGCATACGCCACACAGGAGGAATTTCAGGCTAGATTTTATAGCTCTGTAACCCAGCTAATGCTAATATCTTCGGAAAGAAGATAAAGATGTTAGAGTCTAGAAAAAGATTCATGATGTCCTAAAATGTATATGGCGCTCCGCCTTCAAATGGCCCTTCTACATCATTTGGCCACGACGTCTTTTAACTCTCACATTGTTCCTCCGTAGGATCCAGGCAGGACCAGTGTCACTGTCTGCATTCCACAAGTGAACAAACAGACGGGGGGTGTGGGGGTGTGGGTTGGTGCCTTGAGACGAACCACAGGACTAGGCGGCTGAGCCATGGATTAAATTCAAGCCTTTGGCCTTTGCTTTTCAATGCCTGAATTGGACAAAACCACTTCCCAACCAATCATTCCTAAATATAGTCATTGAGTGAGATTTACACTTTTGACTTTTTTTAGAGGGAATTTGATTTAATCACCACATAGATGTGTTTCTATTGAGGATAAATATAAAAATTCAAAGAGTTGAAATGCAGAAAATCTCCAAGTCTCTATATAGACTTAGGCCTGCTGGGCTACGTGCTTTAATTCCAAGGACTGATAAGACTCTACACTCCTATTGCTTTGCTTTAGCTACTGAGGAAATAGAAACCAAGTCTCACCAAGCACTTACCAAATAAGACAGGAGTTTATTGGTCATCTGCCACCTAAAAGTGTCTTTTGTGACTATGTGGGTTTCATCTTTGTTACTTAAATTTACAAATTTGGTTGGAAGGAAAAAAATGTTGGCACTTTCATTTTTTTCCCCAAGAATACTTATTTTTAGCATCTAATCAGCAGAAGAACCAGCATCTCTGGCTTAAGTTGTACTAGTATGTCATCTTAGGACTGATGAGTCCTCCAGGTCGAGTAGCCCCGAGCAGGAGCCCTCCCTGTGCCCTCCAGGCTCCGGCGCTCCCCTCCCCGAGGCCCCCCATTCTGTCGTTGTGTGCTCCTGCTCGTTAGGAACTGACCTCAATTTGCTCCGTAATGTTATAGCTCTGTTATTGGCTTAACATTCTATTTCCCCATAATGCTTTCCTGCTTATCCTGGTTCTTACCTCTGTCAACGCACACCAGGCCTTGTTCCTGCTCTAAAGTCAGCCTGTCTGAGAATGCGCGTTTCGTGGGACTTCACAGGTGCACTTTAAATTTCATCCTGTTGATTTCCACACAGCGTTCCAGCCCGTAGAGGTAACCTCGGGCTTGATTCCTTCACTGAGGTTGGCAGTTGCGCCATCCGGCATTCAGCCACGCGTGTTTTTAACACAAAGAATAGCAACCTGGCAGGGTGAAGATGGTGACAACGGGTTGGGAGCAGGCGGCGCACACTGCTGCCTCATGCCTCCAAGACAAGGGTCAGAAACTTCCTCCGTCGAGGGCCAGGCAGTAAATGTGTCAAACTGTGCAGGCCAGACAGTGTCTGCTGCCCCTGCTCAGCTGAATCCTGCCACTGTAGCACGAGGGCAGCTGGGGCTGACGGGTACACGAATGAGCAGGACTGCATTGCAGCGCCACTCACTTTACAGGCGCTGAGATGGGAGTGTTACACGTCATGAAATGTTCTTTCAAATTTTTCCCAACCATTTCAAAATGTGAAGACCATCCTTAGCTGCTAGGCTGTATGAAAGCAGGTGGTGGGCCAGGTTTGGCCTTCAGGCTGTAGTTTGCAAACCCCTGTCCTGAGCGGCTGGGTTGCTCGAGGGAAGTTAGGAGAAAAATGGTCTGGAGTTGGCAAAGGGGAGTACGTGGGGTCTGCGAGAACCCATCATGCCACATGAGAGGGCGGTAGGGAACGGCGTCCTTAAGTTTGGGGTTCGAACAAGGAATATTCCATGAAGAGAGCCTGACTGCAGGGGGTTTTGCTGATGGCTGCTCATGAGTTCCCCCAGCGCAGTGGAATATGGAGGGGCTGGAGAAGGCAGGAGATCAGTCAGGCAAGGGGACTTACAGAGCCAGCTGGGAGGAAGGGGTCTGGTCGTGATGCTGGGAAGGGTTGGGCTGCTCGGGGAGGTGGAGGCAGGCTGGGATCAGTCTCGGGGACCCTGTAAGGCAGGGGTTCAGGACCACAGGTAATTTTGTCCCTGAGGAGACACCTGGCAGTGTCTCCACACATTTTTGGAAGCCATAACAGGGGTGGGGAGTGCTATTGGCATCTGGCTGCTGGAGTCCGGGGATGCTAGTAAACATTCTGCACCGCCCGGGATGGCCCCCACAACAAAGGATTATCTGTTCTAAAAATGTCAGTAACACTGACTCTGGGAACCCCTGCCTTAGGGGCAGGCAGGTAATTGGTTGTAATTTTTATCTCCTCCTTAGGATGATGCCAAGATTGGAAGTGTTTGGGCTATTGGAAGGAGGATAGCTTTCTTACAAGCACATGGGTCTACCTTAAATGCTCATGTTTATGAGTCAAAATTTACTTATTTTTTCAGAGAATATAGTTCTCAAATTTCTAGGCTACATGGATAGTACAGCAGGTCCTTTTGTTGTTGTTTTAACTCCATTTAGTGAAGTTTTTGCAGCGGAAATTCTCAGGGAATATGCTGAACTCCCTTGGGAAACCCAAGGCTGGACTAAATCTCTTGCTTTTCTTAGTCACTGCGATGCCCCAGATATTGTTCCAATCAGCTTCACATTCATCACATTCCATAAACTGATAACGGACTATGACACGGCATAAAACAAAAT